TAACTAATAGATAGGAATATTATCAATGGATTGCCGTAACGGTCAACACCTGGGCATAAGTTTTGGTGCATCTTTGCCGCAATGCATTTCAAGCAATACACTATTTATGGTTACAATTCATTTAAATATAAAAATGCAATTATATGTCAATTGAATACAAATTGCATTTAATTTATAATATTATTATTATGTAAATTATAAGTTGATTTACAAGTATAGTAATATTTATATTAAATAGTAAACGTTTTAAACAATTTATTTAAATATATTTATAAAAAATAAAATTAATTATTTCAAAAATAACAAGTTTTAAAATTATTGTTAACTAATGATAAATCAATGGATATTTCGTTTGAATAAATTGTAAAATTGAATATTAGTTTCTAAGATATGCAACAGTAATGGCAAAGAGATGCGGGAATTCCGGGCAAACACTGACAACCGAAACGTTGGGAACGGAATATATTTCCTTCTTCTGCTTTCTTTCGCACTTTTTCTAAGAATTTGACAAAAAAAATACATTGAAATTCAATTCAATTAAAAATGTGAACGAATGACTGACTGACCGGCAATTTCTTTCCTATTGATGGCAATGAGTGCCTCATAGAGTTCATTGAATGGATTCTTGGAGGGCGGCAGAGAGTGGAGCCAAATGATCATCATTCGGTAACTGTGCTCTTTATAACTAGTCTTTCCCGTGTATTGATGTTCAATAGCTATTCAATGAATGCAATCAATTGCCAACACATTTATAAATCAGTTACACCACAAACACCGCAATCACACCAATCATACCTTTAATCTGTTCTTCGGTGAAACTCCAGAGACGAGCCAATCGTTTCCAGTCATTCATTTCCAAGTGATTCCGCGAGAGATTCCATAATATTTTTTTGAAATGATTTAATGATATGTTTTGATTGATTTCATGCTCGCAATGATTGGTGGCCTCGATATCGTTGCAGTCCTCCGATTCAAACGTCTCTTTGCGTGAGTTTTGCGAAAGTCTCAGTCCGTCTCTATTTATTTTCAATTTCAGAATCTTCTCCCTCTCAGCCCTTATCAACATATCAACGATTGCCTGAAAACTTCCTCTCGAAGCCACGTATAGAGCAGTCCTTCCGCTCTAATCAACAAATATATACAACATATGTATAGCATATATAAGTATATGAATTATATTATTCATGAAGTTTAGGACTTATAATATTGGTATACCTTTTCTTGGACCTGAAGATCAGCGCCGCTTCTAATGAGCACTTCTGCCACTTCTGTGTGACCCAACTCTGCCGCCACCACTAACGGCGTCTGATTCCTCTGATTATATCAAATATTCATTTCGCGATTTGCGTCAAAAGCAAAGTAATGTTAAAGTTTGTGCATATCTTTTCAAAACTAATAAATATTAAAATCAATATTAAACAAAACTTACATTATTTAGTGAATCGATTTCTGCGCCCTTTTCTATCAGGAATTGTGTCATTCTATGCATTCATAAAATAAGAGTCATTAGTATTAGCCAAACATCACGTTTTAGGAAATAATAAATAAAAACAGAATTTTTCATATACTGTACCGTACTTCCGAAATATATTATTTATATCATTAACTTATTATTTCTTTTAAAATTATTTTGAAATTATAAAAATGTAAATTAACTGTAATTTGAAATTTATTTTTAAATATTTGTTATTCAAAATCATTGTCTAAATTGTATTTATATTTAATTAATTAGAAAATTATTGAAAAGCAAAAAGAGTGTTGAACTCACTTAACATGATTTCCCACAACACATAAATGAAGTGCTGGAAAGACATTAAGACATTGACTTTTATAATTGAATTATATTTGAACAACAATTACAGAATAGCATTACTATTACCTGTGTTTCCATTTTTATCTTTACTGTTAAGAACGGCTCCATAAGAGACGAGAAGGCAAACCACGTCGATATAGCCCAGGGCTGCCGCTATCATTAGGGCTGACCGTCCTTTCTATTCGCATGTTTTCATACAATTCTTATTAATGTTATATTTGTTCATAATTTAATTAAAATCCACAAAAAGAGTTCATCTGTTTTATTATACATTTATTATATCAATTCATTTCATCTTTTAATGAGATTCCGTAAGAAAACTCTCAAAGCATTTGAATATAGAGTTATAATTTATAATAGATATAAATCATGTGACCTCCAGTTAATCCTTATGTTTTGCATTAAAATATTGTTCGCCAAAAAACTTGCATTTTATGTATCATAACTTATATGCTACATTTTTTTTGATCATATGTTTTGTACAAATCCGCTCTTTGGTTATAAAGGAATATAATATTCTGAATATTTCTATACATTATTTAATTATCAGAATCTCATCTCAAATTGTTTTTCAAAAGTAATAAATAATATTAATTATTATACCAATAATAAAATTATATGACATTACATAAAAATAATTTTAAAATTATGCTATAAATTATTAACTAAAATTTAATATAAATTAAAATAGTTATTTTATATCAAGATATGAAAATTAATTTTTATATTCATTTATTGGTCAAAGATTTTAATAACAATTTATTGCTTAATATTTTAATTAAATATTTTTGAAATAATTATATTTTTAATAAAAATTAACTAAAATTTGCTAATAAATTATTATTCTTATAGATATTATTGAATTAAATGCAAATAATTACCGAATCAGTTGTAAATATATCACAATTATGTTGTATTAATGTTTGTGAGGCGTCTTTAAAACCATATTCAGCCGCCAAATGTAGTGCTATTAATAAATTATACATGTATATGTATTTCACTCAACATTTTATAATAGATTATTCCAAATTAAATCATTAGTATATTTATAGATTTAGTTGGGATTTAGCATATTTTCCTAATACTGTATAAATAATACATAAATACAATACAATACCTGTCATTCCATCGCCATCTCTGTCATCGATTTCAATGCCCGCTTTAATTAAAGCCGAGAGTATTTCCTCGTGTCCTTTAAATGCCGCCCAATGACCAGCACTTCTTCCTTGCTATCCATCCATTCATTTAATAAATATTTCATTCAGTCTATCAGTCATTAATTTTATTCATGATTTATATGAATATATGGTTTACTTTATCTTTAATA